TTTTATAGCGTAGTTATATCACCATATCAAGGTCTATTCATTTTGGTTTGTTGAAGATAATGCTGTCCGCCTCAGCAAATGAAGTTGTCAAAAGCAGAAGTACTTTTTTATAAGCCTGAGTGTTGGATAGATATCTTTGACAGCCTCTCTTTTTATTTCTCTCATTTTCATATATTCTACATTCCACCGATGCCTCGCGATTTTTATTCTTTATGTGTGCCTGACAGGAAAGTACCTGCATGTGTGATGTAGACAGAACCACATGTTGGTTGAATTCTAATACAGATGTGATCAGAAAGGATTTAAAAGACAAATATGTTGATATTATATAGTCCCTTTTCTGTTTTTTTTTAATGTAGGTTGTATTCATACATTTGGAAACTGTTTAGTTGAGTTTCAGGTATTCTGTGACCAAATCAGGCTCAAATGGCAGCAATTTATTTAGCAGGACTACGTATAACTCTTAACGCAAAACTGGCTCTGTCTTCACCTGCGATTCTGCTACACTCCTGATGGAGTTTGTCTATTACAGACTGATTGAAAATTCTCCCCAGTCTTTATTGCTCTGTGTTGGAAATTGACATGCTGAGTCGAGTTGATGAGCACAGGGAACTGGGCTTTGCCTTTTAATATGAGAGCTTTGCACTTCTGTTTCTACATAATGTGGTGTGCTACATTTTGTTAAGTTTATTGTATTAGAATTGTAGCAATTAAGGATAATTAAAATTACAACTGTCCTGTTTTATAGTACAGCTAGTAGCCCTAAGAGTAATACAGAGAGTTAATAAACCTAGAAGATGTGGTTTGGGTATGACAGGTATGTGGTTATTAGAAGCCTGCAGATGTTTAACTTGTTAACTTTGGGATCAGACACAATTGAATCACATGAAGAAATCTAATTTTACAGATGTACACATGCATGCTTTCAGCATCATGCCACGTCGAGACAGGAGGGTTTGCGGTGTGTCGATATAGACATGCGTAGACGTGTTAGACACACATGTACACCAACATGCAAGTAAGATCACACTCATGTGCTTTGAGGTTTTGATAATTAGAATCTTTGCTGCAGTGGGATAATAAGAACTCTATTAACACTGATTGATTTTTTTTAAGGCCTGTGCTTGCATAACTACCCATTATGAAACCAGATAGTTATTGACCTCATAAAGATGAATTATGCAACTGATCTTTATTAACTAATAATTTATATCTTCACAATAAGCCATCTTTGTTTATGCACTTAGGTATATACACAAGAAACTAGTTCATGATGATTTAAACTTTGTGACATGGTGCATTATCCTGCCGGAAGCAGCCATCAAAAGATGGGGTCATGAAGGGATGAACATAGTCAGCATCAGTACTATTGTAGGTAGTATAATGTATTTATAGGTAGGTTGTGGTATTTAAAAGATGCTCAGCTATGTTCAGTTGATACTAAGGGGCCCAACTGTGCCAAGAAAATTTTCCACCACGCCATTATACCACCAGCACCCTGAGCCATTGGTACAAGGCAGGATGGATCCATGCTTTATGTTGTTCACATCAAATTCTGACCCTGTAATCCAAATGTTGCAACAGAAACAGAGTCTCATCAGATCAGGCAACATTTTTATGATTTTCTATTTTCCAGTTTCAAGCTCATGCAAACTGTAAGGTGCCCCTCCTTTTAGCTGACAGGCGTGGCACCTGGTGTAGTCTTCTGCTGCTATCGCCCATCTGCTTCAAGGTTTAACATGTGTTCAGAGATGCTCTTCTGTATACCTTGCCTTCCTAGGTTGTTGCTTTCCTGTCGCCATAAGGCAGTGTATCTTAACAAATATTATACCATATCATAGTAAAAAAAGCCTTTCACCAGTCTGGTTAAGGTAATTAAAACAATGCAAAAAACCTGTTGTCATATTTAAAAGCAGCTAATAGCACTGTGCCTATATCGTCCACTATCTGTCCCTCCTATCTTCTAAGCAAAGAGTCATTTTTGAGGTTCCCTTTTAACACTTGACCAAAAAATGTCATGTGATTTGTTGTCAATGTTTTTTGTCACGTGTCCACATTTGTATACAAGTGTGTGTGTGTGTGTGTGTAAGAGAGTGTACTGTTCACATCAGCTCTTGTGAGTCTATCTAGTGCCATGCATATCATACCGCTTTGGTTTTGGTTGTTTATGTGTACGGCATGTAATGATGTCATCCAAAGCAATTCCTCCACCTCTTCATCATCTGTTCTACTCTGATTGTGAGATGCAATGGATGAGAGGAGTAATCAGAGCCACATCTCCTCAAGTGATGAAAAGGACCTGAAAAAGGGAGAAGAGTGTTTATCATGTTGTGATTCACGAGAGGGTGAAAGCTACAAGAAAATAAAAGAACATATACAACATTTGGTTGTAATTAAGTGGTCATATGGAAGCAATGAGACCCAGTTTGAAGAAAACAAAGACAGAAACAGAAAGGTGGAAAATATAACACATCTATCCAAAAAGAAGGAGTTTCTTCTGTCCTTAGATGTTGATTCTAAGGACAGTGTTTAGATTGAAGAGTCGCTTTAATTATGTGGAAAAGTTAAAACTGCAGTGCAAAAGTGTGAGATGATTTGAAGAGATCATAAAAGAGAAGAGCATTATGTGAGAACTTGTTCATGATAAAAAACAGGCAGACGATGCAGAGAGAGAGGGACGCACAAGCTGCCTGACAGACAAAGAGATACACACACACACACACACACACACACACACACACACACACACACACACACACACAAACACAGACAAAGGTCACACAGCCATTCCTGCCACTCGGTGCTCAGACAAACTGGTGGTAAAATGCTCTATTTCCCATCCAAATTAAAGTGTCAGTTAACATT